CTCAACCAATCTTATATCTTAACTTTCTTACCTTTTTAATGCCCATATCAAACATCCAACAAATGCCAGTATTTCCTTAGCCCAGGCAATAACCTATATCTTTCCTCAGTTTCCCCTAAAGACAAAGAAATTCACAGACATACACAACTCAGGAAAATGCTAGGATTATGACGTTGTGAAGTTCTAGATTTCAGAGATTACAAAAATATCCCTGATTATCTGCGTGAGATCTGAGGTGAATTTTCCAGCCCCTTTTATTCTCTAGGGGTATAAAAAGAAGACTTCAAGTCCCAGGAAATTTAAGTTTTGGAATAAAAAGAAATATGAACATGTGAGAGTGAGCCAGAGGGAGAATTTTGGCTGGGAATTTAGATGTGTAATTTGGTTCAGCAAGAAGACCAAATCCATTTTCCCTTTGGCTGCTGCATTCTAATTTCTCTAATAGAGTCTGAACTTAGAGAATCATCTTCTCCGACCAGGTACTTCTCTGCCAGAACAACAGAAAGTGCCAAACTGGCGTGGCAGTGATGGCCAGCTTGACGTAGAGACACTGGGAAGATAAGAATGAGGGATCAGCTTTGATTTCCCTAAACTTTATTTTTAAAAATACTTACAAAGGCGCTACGCACAAGCACTCAGGTCTGCTTTTCTGCTGAAAAGGCAGTGATTGCACTGCCAGAAGGGCCCTCTTACTGAAGCATGTAGACAATGGTGGGAATGGGTGTTACGGAGTGGATTACACTGTAAAGACAGCAATGTGATTTTAAATCCGCTTTTCCCTGAAGGCACCAGCAGAATCACCAAGAGGTAGCCTCTTCCCCCTCAAATGAGATACAGCAGTTTATCATGTCAGACTACGCCACGGAGGGTTAAGGCTATCGGGCTTCTGGCTGTCAGGAACAGGATTTCATTTTGGGACCCCTCAGGCCATATGGAGGAAGCCTAAAAAGTTCATTCTCCTTTTCCCATTGTCTAGCATCTTGCCTCCTTTTCCCATCCCAGTGTCCTCTTGACCAACCTTATACTCCAAATCCAAATCATGTCTGTGAAATAAGCATTGTAAGATTTTCCTCTTATTAAGAGAGGGTTTCCAACTGTATCTGAATAAATTTAGTAAAAAGAAGTAATGGGTTTTTAATCTTAATTTATGAATTTTCATAAGCTTCCACAAACTTAGAAAACTATCTTTTAACATTTGGAACAATTCTGTGAAAAAAATCCGAAATTATTTCTGCCTAATAGAGAGTAATCTATGGAGGCAGGATCATGAGACAAAAATATACACATGGAATTCTTTTGCAGAGCTACTGTATTAAGATTCTGTTCACAGCTCCTATTAGAGTTCGTCAACACCTATTTCAGATTTTGCTCATAGTAATTGTTTCATTGTAAAAATCTTTTGTGTCTGTTTTCGGAATTGCTATGTTGTCTATAAATATTTAGTGATAATTCATGATTGGGTTGTATTTACCCCTGTAGTTATGTATTACAAATGAAACGGCAGCATCTGCTGAAATTAAAAGTGGCCACATTTTCACTGGAGCTTAATTAAATGCCAAAATTTATCTACATTAACAACAAAGTACTGAAATTTATTGATCAATTCACATGATATAAGTTGACAAATGGCTTAAGCAATTTCCATAATTTTCTACACGTGTTAAAATTTGTAATGAAAAAGAACACTATATTAACATTAAATGAGAAATGAAAGGGAGATTTTGTACTGGGACCAGTGCCCTGGAGCAGTGTACTTTGTTTCCCAGGCCCTGTCCAGGCTTGCTGTTTGAGCTGTGTACAGATGGGTCTCTGACAGTCCTACAGCTGTTCTCCTAATTGTCCATTAAGTGTTCTATTGATTCTCTGATTCAAAGTACATGTCTTTCAGCTCAAGCTATCCTGTGAAGTGGCAGACACATTCCTTGTAGAATGACAGAGCTCCTTGAAACCTAAAAATGTGGTCTGCCAGTTTCAATTGAAGATCCTGCTTTCAAAGGAAAAGGCTTGGTTAAAGGCGCTTTGTAATAGCTGGTTAGGTTTTATTTTCTAAACTTTTAGCATCAATCAATTAAAGCAGCAGCAGCATGAAGAGTTTTAATTCCTGGTTAAGCATGTACAGATTGCACCTGGCTGATTCAAGGTAGGGCAAGGGGATCAGTATTGGTAATAGAAGATCAGCCTTCTTTAGCTGTATGCAGATTTTTTCCCCCTGTGCACCTGACACGTGCAGTCATTTTCATTTGACTTGCAAGTTCACTGTTAGCATTTTTTAAAAAATTGAGATCATCTGCAATTCCAGATTATGCCAGTCAGAAGCCTGTTTAAAATCATCTTTCTTTAATCTGGAAAGTGAAAGATAAGATGCATATCTGTTCTGAGGACCATAAATCTTCAGAGAAACAAATAACCGTAGATAAAACTGTAAAAGTTATTTAGTTCTCCACTGGAAGAGGTTTATTAATGTAAAATTTCCAGTCCACTGTGTCATGATTTGGTTAGCACTCTGTATCTCATTTGAGCAATGGTACCTCAAGCAAAGAGCTGATCGCTTCAGAGTTTGAACTTTATCAGTTGTGTAGTTCAGTTGTAATCTAAGTGCAAGGAATAAAACAAAAGCTGCTCTCCAAAAAAAGTCCAAAACTATGGTTTAGGTCACCCCCAATACTATTTGCTTTCTTTTCTTAATGAGATGATATATCCTAATGTTTTTACCACTTCAGTTTAGCTGTTAATTGCTTTGTAATATATTATTTCAATAGAAAGCAGTCTTATTATCTAGTAATCTTTCAGCTATAAATGAACTGAACAAATAATGTTTGTGGCCTCCGGTGTATCAGTTTAATTAGGAGCTACCCCAATGGCCCTAATCACGGTTGAGGTTCTCTAGTGTGATTTTAGCTATTAAGTTTTGAGATTCAGCTAGATTTTCAAAGGGAAAAAAGACTGTTAAGCACACATTTAAACGTGTTTAATGTGTTAAATACACATATTTAAATGTGTAAAAATGAAAAATACAGATTATATTAAGGAAAATCACTTTAAGGGAGTGATTAATTAAAAACTGCTCTGTTTCTCACCATTAGCTGCTTGTTCTTTTTTTATGTCTCCTTTGTATCTTCTCACAAGAGCCCCTTTTGAAGAATACTCCCTTTTCTTTTCCTCTCATTATCGTTGGGTAAAGGAGCATGGCCACTAAACTAGTGTTCTCTTTGTCAAAAGCAAGTGATTTGTATCCTGATGCTCTGTCTGAAGTATGACTCTCTTTGCTCTGACCCTCCCAGTCTATAAGCCTCTACGTTGTAGCATCCTAAGTAGGAAGTGAGTGACCTGCAGTAAGAGTTGCTGAAACAGGGAGACAGAATTTAGATACTTAAAATTTTTTTCTAGTGTAATGTGTTTGGGATTTGGAAACATTAGGAGTTGTATAGTCTATTTGCTTTTAAAAATATTTGTTTTGAACTTACACAAAATACGTAAATGAATGAACTGTATGGTACATACTCCAGAATCAAATCTGAATCTAGGGGTTTGTATTTTTTCAGAATATGGAAACTTCAAGCAAAATGTCCTTTTACCAAAGGATGATAAATCTTCCCTATCTGCTTTTTCTTGGGAAATAAGTGAAAAATCTATTTCTAACATAGTGATATAGTATATATTGATACCTGCAAAACATTATGTGAATCTAGTTAGACGCCAGCACTTTCAATTACACTGTTAGCCAGTTTTTAAAAAAGATTTTTAGAAGCTTTCAACTGTAGACTTTTGTCTTGTTGAATGAACTTCAGCTACACTAAATTTTAAGTAAATTTGTGATGACTGAGCAATATACATTGGCTGAGCTAGAATCCAATAACCCACAGGACAAATTAATTTTCAACAAAAAGGGCAGAAACCTCAAGTGCCGTGAGTATATGGAGTCTCATTCTATCTCTCTGGAGCCATTTTTGCAAATCACTACAGCTATTCATAATCTAAATCAGTCTCCTTTAGCAGCAGAAAGATCTTTTTTCATGACAAAACAGAAGATGACATTCATTAGTGCCTAACTTGCATAAGCTACCTTAAATTTATTGGTGCTCTTCTACTTATCTGAGTAAGAATTCCTTTGTCTATAGCTATAGGAAAATTCCAGTTGTACTACTTAAAAATATAAATTGTCACTTTTATCAGAACTTTTGGCAGTTTACTTTATTTTGGAAGTAAAACTGGTTGTTAAGGTTTTAAGACTTCCAATGGGCATTGTTTCAATCATATTTAATAGGTGCCTAGGACTGTAATAGGACCATGTATCAGCTTCTCGGCTGCCAAAAAAAAAAAATCCACATTTTCATCCGGGTACTGCTGGGGTGGCATGTGGGGGAACCAACCTTTGTGGGGGCGGATATGGCTAAATGCATCATCTTGCCTGCAGCTGCGGACAGACCTAAAGCCACCCAGCCTGTTTGCTTATTGTATTCAAGGGCTCTGTGTGATTTTAAAAGGGTCAAAATGCTTATAAGATATTATTTTGAGCTGTTCTAAGCCTTTTTACCTAGGAAAGAGCCCAGTGAGTGGGAAACTTAGTCTTATGTTCCCAGTCTTCTGATTAGAACCCTTCTTTTGTTGCTCAGATTTTCTTTCCAGTTTATAAGAACCAGGCTTGGATCTGTCTGGAAAAATTAAGTTGTAGCTACATCATTAAGACCATGTTTTTTTTTGCTTTTTATCCCCTCCCACCCCCATCCGTGCTGGTTAAAAAGAAATAAGGAAAAGCTGAGTATACTTCAATTTTGCAATGATAGTTTTTGTTTTCTCCTGACAATCAGGTGCTTGGCCTGGTGAGACAGTGAGGAGAATTATCCAGCAAGAGTTATTTTGGCAGGGCAAAATGGCACCTTGGTGCATCTATGTAGAGCAGCAGAATGTGGGCATGGCCTTGATTGAACCTGACTTGGCTGTGGGTTTACAGTAAGGTGAGATAACCAGATCCTAACACTTCTTTTTCTGTGTCTACACAGCATCTCTAATGCCTGAATTCACATCTCTATCTGCTGCAAGTCATCATTTATCACAGATGGTAACATTGAGGCAAGACTTGGATATGACCTGGAATGAAGGGAAAACTGAATAGTACCACAGGTGGTGTAGCCCACAAATTGGAAGACATCTTATACTTTAATGACAACAAAAATAAAGTTATTTCAACTGTGGGAAATTTGGGATTTAAGGGAGATGAGAAAAGGGAGCTTAGGGATAGTTTCTAGTCACATATCTGCATGAGGATTTCAGAGGCTGAACTTTGCTGTCCTGGTTTTTCTCCTCCCTCACTGCTCCTTCTAAAGTTCCCCCTCATCTCTCTGATCTGTAAATGTTGGGGTGCCCTAGAGCTTAGTCCTCAGTCTTTTTTCTTCTCTTCTATGTTTATACCCCTTGATGATTTCTTCCAGTTTCATGACCTTAAATACCGTCTATATGGTGCCTACTTCCAAATGTATAACTCCAGCTTGACTCTCTCCCTTAACTAGCTGCTTTACATCTCCAGTTGGATATCTAGTAGGTATCTCAAATGCAATACAATCAAAGTTAAACCCCTGATCTCTCCTCCCCATCCGGCACCCCCCACCCCCACCCCCCGGCCCCAAGAAAAAGCTGCATTCTTGACAGTCTTCTGTCTCAGTAAAGGGCAGTTCTAGCTACTCAGTTGCTCAGGCCAAAACCCATGAAGTCACCCCTGATTCCTCTTTCTCTCTTTGTCATGCCTTGTATCAATTCCATCAACAAATCCTGTCATCTCTACTTAAATATACGTCTAGAAACCAGCCTCTCCTCAGCACTCCACTGCTACCATCCTGTTCCAAGCCCCTGTCATTTCTCACCTGGATTATTGCAATAGCTTCTCTACTTAAGTTCTTGTCCGTCTATAGTCTATTCTCAACATAGCAAACAGAACGATCTTTTAAAAATCATGTCAGGGACTTCCCTGGTGGTCCAGTGGCTAAGGCTCCATGCTCCCAATGCAGGGGGCACAGATTGAATCCCTGGTCAGGGAACTAGATCCCACATGCCACAACTAAGAGTTTGCATGCCACAACTAAAGATTCTGCATGCCGCAACTAAACAAACAAACAAAAACATGTCAGAACCCTCAAATGGGGTCCCAGTCACTCAATATGGAAACCAGAGTCCTCATAATGACTAACACGGTCCTTCATGTTCTGGTCCCCAGTTACCCCGCTGACCTTGTCTCCTCCAGCTCTGTCCATCGCTCACTCTTCCTCAGCCACATGGCCTCCTTGTCCCTCAAACATGCCGGGTAGGCTCCTGCCTTAGGTCTCTGTACTTGGTTTGCCCTTTGCCTAGAACTCCCTTCCCCAAGATATTCTCATGGCTTGTTTCCTTACCACTTTTAGGTATTTGCATGCATATCACCTTGTCACCAGTATCTTCTCTGACCACCTCATTGATGACTGCACCCCCATCACTGCCACATCCACATCAGGCTCTTTGTATTTCTCTTCTGTTTTACCTTTCTCCATAGCACTTGTCACCATCTGGCATTCTATGTTTTATTTGTTTGTTTATGTGTCTTCCCCTGTAGAATGTAAATTCCTAGGGACCGGGGGGGGGGGGGTTTGTATGTTTTGTTTGCTTTTGGATTCCTAGCACCTGGTATAGTGCCTATAATATATTAGACTTCAATAAATATTTGTTGAATGCATAAAAGAAGGGCTTAGGGTAGTTCATAGCACATAATGAGCACTCAATAGATGTTAACTATTATTTTAAAAGCTGTCATTGTGCATAGTATAGGATAACTATAAGCCAAGAGTCTACTTACACGTATTAATGGCCCTATAACTCTGTATGGTAAAGCTCCGCTAGTATTTCACTTTAGCCTCCAAATATCTCTTCTGGAATATACCAGTGCTTAGCACCATGCCTTGTACACTCTCAGTAACTGTTTGATAAAATGAGTGGTTCCGTTTCTGCCTTGAGAATATCGTCTTTAGAAGGCCAAGACTAGAAACCCAGTGTTCTTTGGGACCAGCTTCCTGATTAAATCTTTTCAAAACAAAAGCAGTAAGGGTAGCAGAAATTTACAGGTTAGAATTTCCCCTTCTTCCATTCTAAGACTAAATTCTTAGCCCTGGGTCCTTTTTACTTAACTTAAAATTACTGGGCAATTTCAATAGTTTCACTTTGTTTTTCATTGTAGAGCTTGGTGTCCATGTGTATTATAATACAAAGTCCAATATCATAGCAAATGATAGACATGTTCATGAAGATCCCTCTGTCAGGTCAGCTCAACAAATATGGAGATCTACTTACACTGAACTAAGTGCAAGGAAGTTGTAGATGAATATTACTTGGTTCCACCTTTGAGGAGCCTAAGAACAGTGGAGAAGACAGACACATAAGTAATTGTATTTCAATACAGCGTAATAAATGCTGCAAGAGGACCATGTGCAGAGGTGTAGAGGTAGCAAATAGGAAGGAATGATTAACTTTTGTAGATGGGGTGAGTTGGGGAGGAGATTAAAAGAAGGCTTCTTAAAGGTTATACCCAAGCAAAGCTTTTATGTATGAAAAAGTGTAAACATGAGTTATGGTGAGTAGGGTGGGGGCTGGAGAGGAAGAAGGCATCTCAGAAAGAGGGAACAGTGTGCGCAGGCGCAAAGATGCATAACAGTATAGTATGCTCAGAAAAGTCACAAATAGTTTGGTATTATTGAAGCAGAAGGTGTGAGTGTGTGTGTGTGTGTGTGTGTGTGTGTGGTGTAGGGGGTGGTGGCATGCGTGGGAAGTCACAGAATATGAGGCTGCAGGGCTTTCCATTCAACATTAAGAGCTCCCATGTGGTCAGTGGGGAGCTATTCAAAACAGAAGCCAAGTTCTCAAAACTACTCTTCTTGCGCTACAGAGGGTGTATTGAAGGAGATAAGAGGGGAGGTAAGGAGTCTACTCAGGAGTCTATTGAAAAAGTCCCAAGGTAAGCTGATGATGGCCTGAACTAAGGCAGTGTTACTGGGGATGGAGAAGAAGAAAGGACTTTTGAGACATTCTTCAGAGACTCAGGCAAAACACATTTGGTTGATTGCATTTAGGGGGCACGAGGAAGACAAACACCTACTTGCTTCATAAAAATACATTTCTTATTTCCAGATTCTAAATAAGTTGGAGCATTAGCATTTGCTGAGAAGGGGAGTTCTGAGACAGAAGCTATGGCAGGCCTCTGCACCCCACAGGTGCACAGAACAGCTGGGTTCCTCTGGGGTTTCGTCTCCAGAAGGAAATTGTTGGTTTCCAAGGCAAAGAACCCTAACCTGGTCTCTAAGAGCTGGAGGGAGTCTCAGAGGTCATTTAGTCGAAGCTTCTACCTAATGCAGGAACCATTTCTGTAGTATCCTGGACATAAGCTCATCCAGCCTCAGCTTGAAATCCACTCCCAGAGATGGGGATTTTGCCACTTCTTAAGGCAGCGCCTTCTACCTTTGAACAGTTCTGTTAGAAAGTTCTGCTTTACACTGAGCCAAAATTGGCCTTCTCATCTTTGGTTCTGGTTATATCCCATAATGCCACACAAGTGTGATTTGTTTTCAAGAAGAAGTCTTACTCAGAAATTAAAGATGACTTTTGGATCCCCACGCGGTTTCCTTAGTTCCAGTTGCTCCTTGTGGGACGTGGTTTCTGGACCCCTTACATCTTGTTTGTGCTTCTGGAGACAAGCATGAAATGTCAGGGATCCTCTTCAGAAGCAGCACCAACAACCCATCATAATACAGTGGGCCCGCTCCTGCGATGTGGAGCCCGCAGATGTGGAGAGCCAGCTGCACTACACTATTTTATATGAGATATTTGAGCATCCACAGATTTTAGTAGCTGCGTGGGGTCCTGCAGTTAATCCCCCGCAGATACCAAGGGATGACTGTACTACCCACAAGAGCCCAGTGGTCCGGACATGCGTTTTCATCAATGTAGCCTGAGGTTCGTAGGGGTTTTTTAGCAGCCAAATCATTAGCACCTGCTGAGTTTCCGGTCGCCAAAACCCCTGAGCTAACCCTGTCAGCCCTATTCAGTTCAACTGATTTTTAGAATCTACGTGCAGGACTTACATATGTTCCTGTGAAACTTCACCTTCTTGGGTTTGTAGACGCAGAGTTTGTCTGTGATGAGAGTTTACTGATTCAAGACTCAAAACAATCATATTAACCCCACTTTTAGTTTGATAAGTGTTCCTGGAGGTTAACCTCTAATTGCATCTCCCCTTCACCTTCGTCTGAGGCTTATATTCCTTTCTTGTCTCAACATTTTCCTGATCCCAGAGCAGCTCAGGAACTTTAACTGACAGTTCTACTGCAGCAGCTGTTGTAGCTCCACACGTGTTGCCCCTTAGCCTCTGTTGTTGCTGCCACTGCCCTGCTGTCACTCCTGGTGAGAGCCGCCAACTTGGGTGTATCTTTGGAGTTTGTCACTCCGCTGTGCACTGCTCATTCCCACATTGTTGGTGACATTGTTATCATCCATTTTGCTTCTAGTCACGCTAGTTCTTCCTCTGCTCCAGCAGGCCCTGCACTCAGACGGGGAAGACCTCCACCCACAAGCATCACACTTCTTTAATTATATGCCACAGAGGAAGGCATACTTTCTATGTGTGTGTGAGTGTGTGTATGTGTTTTAATACCCCCCATCAGTGTTACACACCCTATTTATTTCACCCTACCTTTAGGTTGTTGACAGGCTCCCTACCTCATCCCAGGATTCCTTCAGGGCTGAGACAGAAGACAATTCAAGTGGTAAGCAACAGTCATAAGCTCTGTTGAGGGCTTGGCATAGTGTCGGAGCTCAGTGCCCAGAGTATATCACCCCAAATTGTCACTTCCCACCAGTCCTCCACCAGTGCCCCTGGTTTGAACTGGTGGCCTTCCTCTAGCTATGGAAGATGAATTCCATAACCCCCTCCTTTGTTCGCCCTTTCAGAGCCCTGCACGAGGAGTTGAAGAACAACCTTTGTCCCCTAGAGTCAGGCCAAGAGTCTTTGTCTTGGAAGTGAAAAGCAGTTCCAACCTCTATACTCTCTTTTTGGACTTTCACCTCTTCACACAAACACGGTTTGCTCTGGAGGCTCTAATTGGCTGAATTCTTTTTTTAAACATCTTTATTGGAGTATAATTGCTTTACAATGGTGTGTTAGTTTCTGCTGTATAAAGTGAATCAGCTATACATATACATATATCCCCGTATCTCCTCCCTCTTGCGTCTCCCTCCCACCCCTCTAGGTGGTCACAAAGCACCGAGCTGATCTCCCTGTGCTATGCGGCTGCTTCCCACTAGCTATCTGTTTTACATTTGATAGTGTATATATGTCCATTACACTCTCTCATCTAATTGGCTGAATTCTGAGGCAGATTCCCAGAAGGTTCACTGCTCCCGTCCGTGAGACTCATCATGTGTCTTTTGTTGAATGTGTGTGCTTTATCCAGCTTAAGAAACTTGCGTTTGGAGGTTTGGCCCTGACTGTAGCACCCTCTTCGCCTTGGCAGTTGTGACTTAACCTCCCTTAGCATAACTTCCCCTCTCTACAAAATGAGGAGGGTGATACCCTTTCTTTCCTCAGAGGGTTTCTTAAGGACCGAATGAAATACTCTATGTATTTTTACAAGTTCTAAGAAACAATGCAGGTATTATTATTTACTAGAATTGTCCATGGTCCAAATCAGCTCTAAGGGTCTGACTCAGGCTGCCGGAAAATATGTGACCAATGGGAGGAAGGAAGCTAGTCCCTTGGGGGCTACAAAACTGTCACAGGGTCAGAATCTCCAAATTTTAGAGTAGATGGGGCCTAACAGATCACTTGGTCCGACACCCTCACTTTGCTGAAAAATAAGACGAGAGAGGAGCAGGGGACTTGCCTTGAGATTTGCTTGGGTCAGAGGATCCGCAGAGAAGTAACAATCCTCAAAGCTAGAGAAGGCGAGAGGCCAGCCAGCAATCGGGAAATGTGTCCAGCCTCTCCCAAGGTCAGGGAAACTATCGATCTTTCTAGCAGGTGGATGGTTTTTTAACCACTTTCCTTACCTTAAGAGCTTCCTCTGGCTCACAGGCTCCTCGAAGACCCACCTGTGTCCTTTTAGAGATCGGCTTTCCCAAGCAAGCATAACCGTGTTGTCTCTCAGCTGTGCTGCTGCATGGTGGATGAGGGCTGCACTCTGGATCAGCCGGGGACTCCAGTGCCAAGCCTCTGATATATAGTGTGGGGACTGCAGGGCATCCAAGTTGCAACAGGAACAAGATGAGCCTGTGGCCTCGGGCTTCTAAGCTGCCCCTCAACCCACACTTCAAAGAAAGTTATTACACAAGAGTTAGACTAAATCAAACCAAACTGCAATGTTTGCATACTGTGGCCCATTTTCAGATCTCACTGTGTCTCACCACTCGTCCCTCAGAAACCTAGCTTGGAGTAGAACAAAAGGACCCAATGATAATTTAGTTGCAGGTCTTTAAAAATGAGCCCAACTGATTTATTTTGAAATTTCAGTTAAGCATGATGTCAAGAAAATCTCTCTGGCTATTTATCATCTTTTTTTCCTCTTGCATAGTCTGAATAGGCAGGATAAAATTAGAAACTGGCTGTTCACATGCTTCCAGCTTTTGCTGTAGGCAGATGTTTTTACTAGAATATCAGAACGTTAAGATGTTTTGATGATCATTCTCTGCCAAAAGAATACTCATCGTAGCAAGAAAGGTCTTTACTATGCCATTTACTTTCTTTATTAGCAATGTTATACAGGTGCTGTAGGAAGAGGTACAATAAATGATCTAAAGATATATATTTCACTTTGGTGAGAACTGCTACTCCCATTTTTCCAAATCACCACAACCTGAAAGCATGAAAAATTGCATTTTTCTTTTGTAGCTTTGAACAGTGGATATAAGATCTGTAAGTTTTTTGAATCATCAAAGAGATAAAGCTTATATTCATTGTTGTCTAGTGTTGAGCATATTTTGTAGGATGGTTTAGAAAACTTTGTATGGTACATATGGTACCCCTTTCATTTAATCTAGTAATTGAACCATTAAAACCCATACCTGCTAGCCATTCTCCATACATTCGTTATGCGCAACAGGGACGCTTCTAGATACTCCTTTAGTTCCAACCATGAATCACTGCAGTGTCTCAGAATCGTGGACGGTTGGAGCTGGGAGAGATCCCCAAGCGGCATGAAGAAGGAAACTGAGACCACAAAGACAGGTAATTTACCCAAGACTGCACAGACAGTTACTCAGAGCCATGGCTAGGATTCAGGTTGGGTAATTTCTGCTTCCATATGTGGCACCTCGCTTTATTAGATCAAGAGTGACAGACTGGAAAACCAAAATCAAAGAATTTTATGTGAGCAGAGACAAAAGTGAACTTTTAAATTGCAAACCTAAAGGCCAATACGTTAAAAAAAAAAAACAATCAAACCAAGCATCCAGCCCAAAAGGGGGAATGAGAGGCTGCAAAGCCCAGGGAAAAGTTATGACCTGGGTCCGAAGAGAAGAGGAGATGGGGACTCTTTTGGCTTCCGTTGACTAGACACATCTGTGGTGCAAGAATGGAATATTTTTATGGTACCCTTTCCATATTTCTTTTTATTGTCCCAATATTTGTGTACCGTCCTTAGATTTTGACTTGCTTTGTTTTGGAAAAGTTAAAGACTGAGATGCCGCTAAAGAGATTCTCATCCTCCGCCCTGGTCAGCAGCCTGCCCCTTTCCGTAGGTGCTGCCACACTTATCTTCTGATCCAGAACATTAATCAGTCCATCACCCAGTCTTTACTCAAACTTAGCCCCAGATACAAAGAGTATCACGTAGTCACTGCTCTCAGGGAGATCATAATCTGTTTCGGAGGTTTCAGAGGATATTATTAGCACCTTGGAATTATTTGCAAATTGCCATGTACATGTGAATATCTTTGAGGGAAGAGTCAAAGAAATATCTGATTATCAGAGGGTTCTACAACTCAGAGAGGTTGATTAATTGGTCCAGGTGGAGAGACGAGACTAATTTACAGAATCAGCAAAATGAGAACAGTATATGATATTCAATACATTTGTGAGATCAAGGTGGGTCAGCTTCCCAGACAGCTTCCAGAATGAGGTGGGGTTTTTAGGTGTGTCTTGAAGGGGAGAAGATGTCTGGATAGGTAGAAAGGAAAGGGCAAGTGTGCCTGACTGGGAGAATACAGTGGATTGGAAACTAAAATTTATTAAGCAGAACGCATATACATTAGGCACCTTATTACATATGATCTCATTTAATCTTCACAACAAGACAGTGAAGTGAGGATTATCATCTCCATGTTACAGGTGAAAACAGATCCAGGAAGGTTAGGTGCCTTGTATACAATTGGGAGATTGGCAAAGCCATATTAAGAACCCCAATCATTTAGTCACGGATATGAAATGTATAGTATGGGCAATATAGCCAATAATTATGTTATATCTTTGTATGGTGACAGATGGTAACTAGACTTGTCACGGTGATCATTTAGAAATGTATAGAAATATTGAATCACTATGTTGTGTAACATAAACTAACATAGTTTGTAGGTCAATTATATTTCAAAAACAAACAAACTCACAGAAAAAGAGATCAGATTTATGGTTACCAGAGGCGGGGTATGGGGGTAGGAGAATTGGATGCAGGCAGTCAAAAAGTACAAAGTTCCGGTTATAAGATAAATAAGTACTAGGGATGTAGCGTACAGCATGATAAAGATAATTAGCACTGCTGTATGGTGTATAGGAAAGTTGTTAAGAGAGCAAATCCTAAGAGTTCTCATCACAAGGAACAAAATTCTTTTTCTTTAATTTTACATCTTTATGAGATTACTGATGTTCACTAAACTTCTGGGAATCATTTCATGGTGTATATAAAGTCAAATTATGCTGTACACCTTAAACTTTCACAGTGCTGTATGTCCATTATACCTCCATATAACTGGAAGCAGAAAAGTAGAACCCAGGCCATTTGACCTCAAAAACTTCTTGCTGAGAAGCAAGGCTCATATGGTGACAGTAGAGCTAAATCCTGTCAAGCTAGGATCATAACGAACCTTTACTGAGCACTTACTATGTGCCAGTCAGGATGTAAGCTCTTTATCTCATTTAATACACAAAATAACCCTCTGGGAGGTTATTGTTGCTGCGCTCACTTTACAGTTGAGGAACCTAAGGTTATAAGTAGTTTGTCAAGGGAATTCCCTGGTGGTCCAGTGGTTAGGACTCCGTGCTCTCACTGCCAAAGGCCCGAGTTCAATCTCTGGTTGGGGAACTAAGATCCCACAAGCCGCATGGTGCGGCCAAAAAACCAAAAATAGTTTATCAAGGTTCACACAGATAATGGGTGGCTGAATTGCAAGATTTGAAATTCAGATCTAATCTGTTTGACTCCAGAGTCCCACTCTTGAAACATGCTAGAAAATTAGCATTTTGTGAGTGTTCACAGCGTGCCAGGCACTGTGCTGAGCACTTTATGTGCGTCATCCCATTCAATTCCACAGAAACCCTGCGAAGGACATGGAATATTATTTTCTGTATTTTACAATGAGGAGCGAAGTCACGGGTGAACTGAAGCTCAGGAAGGTTTAGTAACTAGTCCAAGGTCACAGTTTGGCAGGGCTGAAATCTAACCCAAGTCTTCTGGCTCTGGAACCTGGACTCAGAACTCCTGTGGTACAGTTTACCCAAACCAGGAATTCTGGGAGTGAAGGACTAAAGTCACTTCTCTTAACTATTCCCTCTCCTCCCACTGTATTTCTTATTTTCTCCTCAGTCATTATTTTTTCATGCCTTTTAGTGGCTCCCTTATTACTTCAGATTCTCATATACATTGGACCCAAATCACTATTTAAAGAAAGCCTGGGATAAATGTTTTTTTGTAATGTTATAAATGGAGCTAATGTGAGTAAGACCTCATTTATTCATCAAACTTTTATTGAGCCCCTACCGAGGGCTGCTCAGGGTGCTGGGAATATAAAGACACAAAGAAAAAGTCCTTCTCGGTAAGCTGGGACAAAGTAAGAGAGTAGCATCGACATATATACACTACCAAATGTAAAATAGGTAGCTAGTGGGTAGCAGCTGCATAGCACAGGGAGATCAGCTCGGTGCTTTGTGACCACCGAGAGGGGTAGGATAGGGAGGATGGGAGGGAGGGGATATAGGGTTAT